ATCCACATGTCAAAAATGTCAAAAAGAAGCATTTGAATGTTTCAATAATGAAAATGCATTTAATTCACTTGTTATCCACTACTTCTTCAATCTACTTTAAGCATTTCCAATTCTGGATCGAACCGAACAACACGATATGCCCGACAAGCTTTGGGGACAGCTGCTTTAGACCAACTGAAGGCCCAAAAATCTAAAACCCAAATTAATGTAAATCCATTCCAAATGACCCAAGGTAATAAAGCCCTGTCACACGAAATTCAAGGTACACATTGTGATATTCACTTTTCATTAAACATATCTTGAATCCTGAACTCGCTTAAATGTTGGAGTGTTAACCGTGCAAATTCATCCTCGCGTTACTGTATCAGAGATCAACACCACCAGTTTAAGATTCATCACTGCATATTTGCACCTAATTATTGCTCTATAACGAAACACATACTAAGTTTAAAATCATTGTAACTGCTCATTATAATATTTTCTTTTTTCCCTAATTATTTTGGCATAGACCTCTATTCAAGTAGTTTTTATATAAAACTAGTAGGAAATTTGCATGGCTTAGATTTGTATGTATATCCTTTTGAGTTGTGTTATTTATTAAATCTTTTACATAGATCTTGTACATTTATATCTTTCCAAACTAATAAAAGTACTCATTTTTCTCTTCCCATCAAAACAAATCTTTTGCTAAAGCATATGAACAAAAAGTGAAGAAAATCTATAAACTCAAGATTGATCATTCTTCTACTCATTCCTCAAACCGTGAGGTATGTTTGAGTTATGTTGAGTGTCAGGTTGAGTTTCGACACTTTTAAGGAGAGAAAAATCATCACAAGTATCACCTTTGACACATAATAAATCATATCAAAGAAATAAAGAATCTTTATCTGACTATAATAGTCACACAAAAAAATATTTGCTTTTAACTCAATAAACTTTATAATAAGATTTTTAATTATTTTTAATTATAATAGTCAAAGAAGATGATCAACTTGAGATCAATTTCGATGTATATCCACCTAATTCGGTTGATAGGGCTTTAGAGAAACTTGATTTTGTCTTCAAAGAATGAGAACAGAAAAAGTATACTACAAGTTCCCATACTACTTATCCTTTCAAAATTAAGTATACTACAAGTTCCCATACTACTTATCCTTTGAAAATTGTCTCCCATGAATAAGATAAGAGTGAAAAGGAAAAGTCATATAAGGTTTCTACAAAAACATCACATAACATAGAGCATTCGGGAGTTTTAGCTACTTCTTTTTTCTTAAACTCTTAATCAAGAAAGAGGCTTTATTATGAGTGATTTCCATGATAAATTCATATTAGATACTTGTGTTTCTCTCAAAGGTTTCTTTTCTTCACAAAGTGCTTAAAGGGACTTTGTAGTTAAAGTTTCTTATGGCAAATGAGTCTGAAAACTTATTGAAGTCACCCCTGAATCTTTAATTGGAGAATTGTGAGACATGATTCTTGAGCGTAATTTGTCTTAAAGACTATTTGACAATTTATTCACTTCATGTTGTTGTTAAATTCATATGATATTTTATCAAGTTGTCTCGTGGTTGAAATTCACTTTTTAAAATATATAACTTACACAATAACTTTCATTGAACTACTACTATCATCTTTCATATAACTCCTTACTAATAACTTCCCACATAACTTTTAACTTTCATGTAAAATTAATATTAAATAAAAATATATCATTTATATTTATATGTGTGCAATAAAAGAGTGGACAGACGGACGCGAGTGCCCGTCTGGACGCTAGTTGAAAATAAAAGCAATAGAAAATAGAAAAAGAGATAAGAGATAAGAAATAATATATTAAGATTTATAAATAAATAGTATATTAAGATTTATAAAGGATTGGCCTAATTCGTTCATTCTTCAAAAATTATTTATTGAGAGTTTTATTATATGCGTAAGTTTTGCATAAGTGACACTCACGAACTTTCTTATAAATACATTTAGAGTTTTATATTGAATATCCTTCCAATCAAATACGAGATTTTATATAACGATGATTTCAAACCAAAATAGATCATTTATATTGAATGCAGCTCATAAACCAAATAGTAATTTTGACGGACAATCTCAAATATCCCCCAACATTATAACCAAATATTACATAAGTAAATTTCACTTTCAAAATACTAAGTAAAAAGTGAAGAAAAAATAAAGAGGAAAAAGTAAGAAAGAATAAGTTGTTAATTTATAAGATAAAGTGTGGCTCAAAAATAAAAAGAATTCATGAAAATTTTAATGTTCAGACTATGCATGTCACATATTCAATTATGTAGTTCAAATATAAATTTTTTTTAAACGGTGATGTCATTGATCAATTAGAAGACCGATCATTATGATAATTATAAAAATGATAATTGATTAATTTTAGTGGTCTCTTAATAAAAAAAATGTTTATGAGTCCTTTATAGAAAAAAAAATTATTATATCTATTTAATTTTGTATTTCTTTTATTATATGTTTTCATTTTGAATAAGTGCTGTCCATCAATTCTTACTCACAGATTTTTTGAATTTCGACTAAAGGTTGTTTTTTCTGGAAATCATCATAGTTGTTGTAAGAATCTCAGATTTTTAAATTAATTTTTATATGATTAGAAAATTGTTATCAATAATTAAAAAGACACACTATACTAAGTAATATATAAAAACCTTGGTAAACATCGTATAGAAATTACCATTAAACAACCACACACAATTAAATTTTATTTTTATTAATTGTAATACAAAATCTAACTAATAAATAAAGACTCGATAGAATATCAAAATTATATTGAAAAAATTCACCAAAACTTTGTTTTATCATTATATCATTCAACAACTACACACTATAAATAACTTACATTATTATATTTTTCACTCTTCACTCACTTATAAGAGCGCAATTCAATCTCTTGTTGGATAAAAACTAGGGGTGGCAAAATGGATGGATTGGATGGATATGGATTGGATTGCTAATGGATGGATTAAAACAATCCATTAGTCCATTAAAATCCACTAAAATTTTATTAAAATTATCCAATCCGATCCATCCATTAAGAATAAAATCCATCCAATCCATCCATTAACATATTTTTAATGGATGGATATCCATCCATCCAACTTTTTTTTTAATTTCGTAAAAATAAATTATTTTTTTTCAAAAACAAATTAGTTTTTTATTCTGAAAAAAAAAACCAATTTTTTTTTCAAAAAAAAAAGTCGGTTTTTTTTTTCGAGAAAAAATTTTATTTTTTTTCGAAAAACAAATCAGTTTTTTATTCTGAAAAAAAAAACCGATTTTTCATAAAAAAAAGTCGTTTTTTTTTTCGAAATTTTTTTTTTGAAAAACAAATCAGTTTTTTATTTTGAAAAAAAAAACCGATTTTTTTCCAAAAAAAAAAGTCAGTTTTTTTTCGAGAAAAAATTTTATTTTTTTTTCGAAAAACAAATCAGTTTTTTATTCTGAAAAAAAATGATTTTTTTCCAAAAAAAAAGTCGGCTTTTTTTTCGAGAAATTTTTTTTTTTCGAATAACAAATCAGTTTTTTATTCTGAAAAAAAAACTGATTTTTTTCCAAAAAAAAAAAGTCGTTTTTTTTTTCGGAAAAAAAATCAGTTTTTTGTTCTGAAAAAAAAAACAATTTTTTTTTCAAAAAAATTAAAAAAAAATTTTCAGAAAAAAAAAATATAGTTTTTTAATTATTTTTGAAAAAAAATCTAATTTTAAAAAAATAAATCTAACGAAAATAAAAATAATCCATTGGATCCTTAAAATATGTTGGATGGATTGAATCAATCCATGCATATAAATGGATGGATTGAATCCATCCATGCATATAAATGGATGGATTTAATCCAATCCATTAACTTATTTTTTGTGTGGTGGATGGATTGGATGGATTTTTTGATGGATGAATTGGATGGATTTTGTCTTAATGGATTTAATTGCCACCTCTAATAAAAACCCTTCCATCTATCCCAATGATTAGTTTATTAAAAAATTGCTTATCAATGTTGTCTATCCTTTTACTTTTATTATTAAATTTCAGTTTATAAATGTCAAAGTGAATTATATATTCTACTTTTTAATGATGTCATTTTGATCCTTTGAGATAATGGGTGTAAAACTATTTTATCTTATGCATATGTATTAAATATGATATTTTGAATTGTTATCAATGTATCCCCTCCATTGACTTCATGATGTATTTAGACTATATATAAATTAAATACATTAATTATTCAATAAATCTAACTTGCTAAAATTTTCTTATAATAAAGAGGAATAGAGGAAGTAGTTATTAATGAATACTATTATAAAAAAAAAATTTGTTTACCTCTAAATACATAAACATGACATATAGATTCTTAATCAAAATAGTAATCCATTAAATATGAGATTTCAAACTTCATTCAAATTTCATACAATATTGGAAATTGTATCCACAATTAAGTAATTTTAGTACCGAAAAGACCGCATTTTGGAATAATCTAAAGAACATGAAGCATATTTAAGAGAAAGGTATATGATATTACATTTGACAATGAAAGTAAGTGGTCTCAACATTGGAATGAAATCAAGCACATATTAACATGATAAGAGTTAAGAAAACCAAACCCAACAACCAACATAGCCCTCAAAACTCCAAAGACCCATCTTTGTTTTCATGGGACCCACCATCCAGCTATAAGGGTTTGTTTGGTTTTCATCTCACAAAAGCATTTTCTGACCAATTTAGGCCAACTATACCATGACATCATGTAGACATTTTACAATAAACATTCAAGGAAAAAAAGCTATTCTTTTGCAAGATATAGTCAAAAGGTATACACATATACTGAGGGATCAACTGCAGCCATCCGGTCCGGGTTCAGCGTGAAACTACACTGGCCAGGCCACAGAACATGATAACTTAGACAAAAAATAATGGTGCCACTTTTGTTTTAATGTATCAACTAGTATACACTTTGCATCCTATGCTTATCATCATGATACGGTTGATTGAACAAATTGGAGCCCTATTTGCCGCTTTATGTGGTCGGGTATCAACTTATTAACAAGCTCTGGGGATGCTCCTGATAACTGTAATCAGAAGAGTTACACGTTATAGGTTACCGCAAGGGCAAAAATCTGACTAAGAAAGATATTTTAAGGACTTACTTCCTGTTTGAAGTTGAAAAGAGGAGGAAATGGACGACCATTAGGCAGACGGGCATTGGGTTCTCGAAGATCATCAAAGAAAGGATGTGCACAAGCTTCAAGCTGCATAACAAAAGAAGTTGATAAGCTAGTTTTTCTATTAAAGAAACTTATATCCATTGATTAATCAAATTCAGAAGAAGTCTAGACTGATGAATGAGAGAAATGGAGATCAGTAACACCCACCGCAGTGCAACGAAGACTTGGGGAGTACTGCAAAAGCCGGGAAGCAAGATCAATAGCTTCTGGAGGCATCTTTTTGTGGAAGATCTGCACAATTTAGAAATATTAGAATATGCGAGAATAATATTATTTAAGCAACTCAAATTTGATCAATGAGCCGTTAGAGAAGAGATTAAAATGCAGACCTTGTGCCATGGGTGTGCTTTTATTTGTGGAAACCTAAAGTCATTGTAATTGGGATTCATGCACCGAACTTCCTCCCGGGTGGGTGTTCCAAGCACCTGCATCAGAGTTCCAAAGATATGATTAGTCATGCCATGTAAGGCACAATTTAGAACATATGTTACAAGCGACACCAATCGCACCTTTATAATATGTACGAGCTGGTCCACCGCATTTTCACCAGGGAATAATGGCTGCAAAAGATCATATTTTATCAAATGAATTGGTGGTGGTAGATACTAATAGAAATGCATCATGTGGAAGTAGATGATGATTACAATGGCGACGACTATGAAAACAAAAACAATTGACACAACAAACCTGGCCCAAAAGCAGTTCGGCGAGGACACAGCCACCTGACCAAATATCAATTGAAGTAGTATACTCAGTTGCACCAAATATAAGCTCTGGAGCTCGATAGAATCGTGAACATATGTAAGATATATTAGCTTCGCCCTTGACCTGGCCAGAAAAATCAAAGATCAGTCGGTACTTGAAAACTAAGCATATTAAAATAAGATAAGCAGGTCAACATACCAGCATTTTCGCACTTCCGAAATCGCATAACTTAACTTGATGCGAAAGAGGATCAACCTGGGGAATACACAGAATAACATCAGGGACATAAGTAATTATTACTCTTACGAAAGAAATCTGAATTGTAATGTAAATTCAGCAACAGCATATCAACAAACCAGTATATTTTGAGGCTTCAAATCCCTGTGGCAAACTCCAGGAACAGTGTGGATATAAGCCAACCCCCTAAAGATCTGCATGCCCGCCACAAACTTTTATCAGACAGTGAATGAATAAATCAAACAAGTTTATTATTCACCAGAAAGTCGATGGCGTGCATACCTGGTACATATAAAGTTTTACATAGATGATTGGTATTCTTTGATTAGCGTTGTTATAGTGCTTTAAGACCCGATACATGGACTCTGGAACATATTCCATCACCAAATTAAGGAAAAGTTCATCTGTACTTGTAGTTGAAAAGAAACAATGCTTCAGAGTGACGACATTAGGATGATCCATCACACGCATCAACTGTAGTTCACGATTCTTATATCTCCGGTCTTGTAAAACCTTTTTAATGGCCACTGCCTCTCCGGTTTCCAAGCATTTCGCCTAAGAGAACAAAATTATCAGCATATGGAAGAAAAAAAAGGTGGAGACGACAACAGTTACGAAGAATCTAGTATTAGCATACCTGGAAAACAATTCCAAATGATCCCGTTCCTACAACACGTTCTGCCATGTAACTAATAGTCTACAAGAATCATTATACAAGATGTTAAACTTGTAATCCATGATAAATGATAAATGGAATTACTAACAAATCAGCAAACTACTCGAACTCAAAACTGTAATTTTACCAGTGCAACGGGATTTACAAAAGATTTTACCTGTTTCGGTTCCCCATTTTTGCCTCCAATTGTTGTAGATATTATTTGACCAGTGAGAGAATCATTTCCATTGATAACGGAAGTAGACATCTCCTGTTGAAATTGTCGCGTTAATCACAAGATATGTGAAAATTAGCATACTGAATTTCTCACAAAAATAGTAATAAACAGCTTGGTTTCATAGTGAAGCTAAAAATAGAAAGCATATGATTAATCAATTAAACCATCACATATCAATAGCATAATCAAAAACATAAAGGGTAATTTCTAAAAGATATAACATGAAGAAAAAAATCCAGAAAGCAACATATATGATAAGCTACTAAAAATTAAAGATCAAGGAACCAAGAACTATAGCAGCACAGAATCCAGAGGACAAACTTAGTTTGCTTTAGACTTTCATTGAAAAAATTGAAGTAAGAAACAAAAACAACTCAACAAAATATGTTGCTAAAAAAAATTAAAATTTGAAATCATGCAAGAGTTAGCAGCAGATGAGAACAGATAGAACAAAAACATGTTCATCAGAATCACAAATCAAAGTGATGAACAACACAGAAAGCAAGCAAGATACGCTGAATAACTAGCAAACAATACAAGTTCATGACAAAACAAAATCATAGAGAGACCAACTTCAACATAAGAACCATGATCTGATCATAACAAAGTGTCGGCAACAAACAAATCTTCAAAAAAAAAAAAAAAAAAACCTAGTTCAAAGCTTCTCGCCGTAAAAAAAAAAATTGAAACTTCAGAGAAACCCATAGATCAACTCAAAAAATACTAAAATGGGTCTTCTATAGTTACCTCAAAAACCAAAATTTAAGCAACGAATCAAATTTCCCCCAAAATATAACAAACCCTAACATTCCCTTTTTCAGCAAACAAAAAAAGGAAACAATCAAACGAAAATCACACAACCCATATAAATTCCGCTTCATACTATTACAAAAACAAAACAAATAAATTGTTCCATTCATGAATCACCAACTTCCACACCAACCAAGCAATTTATTTACATATCAAAAAATACCAAAAAAAAGGTTTCTTGCGGTGAGAAAATACCTTATCCTCAGCCATGAGGGAGAAAGGAGGGAGAGAGAAAGAGAGAAGAGAGAAGAGGAAGAAACTAGGGAAGGGTGAAGAAGAGGGAGATGGTGGAAGAGAAAGTAAGAAGGGAATGGAGGACCCAGCAAGAGAAAGACAAGTCCATGTGATTCCAGCTCTTGTTTTTCTCTTCTCTCTCTTTCTCTCTCCTTTCTTTTCTGTCTACCCTTTCTTTTCTTTTTCTTTTTTATTATTATTTTCTTTGTTTTCTTTTTTGGACTTTTCCTATTTGTCTTTGACCCACTTTGTAGATTAGGAAGAACTTGCTATTAATACAATCATTAGACGTGCTTAGTTTAATTTGTCGGTCAAAAATATATTTCTTCTCATTTCATTTAGTTTATACTTGAGTTTTTTTTGTTCACACTTATTAGTATTTGAGTTAAATTTTTGTACTAGTAATTAGTAAAGTTGTATATAATTTTAAAAAAAATATATATTTTCTTTCTTTGTTTTCATCATTTAGGAATTGAGTCAAAAATATATTTCTTCGTTTTTGTTATCAAATTTGTTTTTTTATTTCTTTGTCTCTATTTCTGTTATCGAATTTGCTTTGTATCTCATTTTTTATCTTTGACAAAGGGTTTTAATCTTTGTCTTTATTATTATTATATGTGGTTCTCTGATGTTCTTATAAATATTCATTGACATGATAAAATTAAATAAGTTGTATATTATAAATTCAGTAATTTATTTTTTTTATAAATGTGTCTTTTAAATATAATATGTGAAGGGAGTCAGGACAACAATAATATCTAGTTGGGAGAGAGTAGTGAATCATATGAAAGATCTTAATATTAATGTTTGGAAAGACACATTAGATGTGTTTGTTGCACGTTAGAGTAGAGCTCATTTTAAGTTAGAAACACAATGTGACTTGCAAGTTAACAATATGTGTGAGGTTGTCAATTGAACAATCTTGGAGTATAAATGTAAGTCAATTATTACAATATTGGAATGAATCAAACACTAAATAACATTGAGGATTGCAACTCAAAAGGACGCTCTAGGTAAATGTAAATGAATCATAAGCCCTAAAATCCAACAAGTTCTAGAAAAAACAAATAGGGCAGCTGAAGGATAGAGTGCAACATGGCATTCTAATTATGACTTTGCAAATTTTTAGGTGTTAAATGGTGTTGATATGTTGTTAATTTACTGCATATGAAATGTGTGTAGGAGATGGGATTTAACGGGGATACCATGTTGTCAAGTTATCGCGTGCATATGATAGAGCAAGAAGGAACCGAAAGGGTATGTTTCATCATACTATAGGTAACACATCATATATGCAAACTATTTCATTTAATGATATTATGTATGATAGCTTACTAATACGAATTATTTGTTTATGTCTGGAACATTCAGTGTGATGTCTACTTATAGTCATACCATCATGCCAACAATTGGCCCGCAATTATGGCCAACTAGTGAACTTGAGCAAATCAACCTTCTCGTAATGAGGAGAGATATTGGTTACCTAAACAAGAATCGTAATAATGAAAGTGATAAGCCTAGAAACACAATACAGTAAAGGGTGATGAACAAACTGTTATAAAGCTGTTATAGAAGTAGGGTCACAGGCACCACAATCAAATTAAGACTAATTACTAGTTTAGGTTATTTTTTGTTTATTGAAGAAAGTGTTGGATTTAGTGAAAAATCAAGTGAAAGGGAGAGCAAAAATGTGCATCTACTGGAATAATCACGCACACCATCGAGCACGATAGATTTGTACTAGCTGCATCGCGCAGGCAATGCATGCATAATGCGCGCAATATTGCCTTTTACTAGGCTTTTTCTGACGTGATTTGACCCGTTCTAAGTTTTTTTTAAGGGGGAATTCTACACTTTTGCAAGGGTTACAAAATTTGACATTGCAAGTACGAATTTTACAGTGCGAATTTTGCACTTAAAGTGCTTATTTGCATCGGTATTATATGTAAATTATCATTGCAAAAAATTATAATTTTTTTTAAATCAGTTTTTAAATAATAATAATAATTTAACTATTGAATTAATTGAAGTTTTATTGACTCAAAAAAATGATAATTTAACTAAAAATTATGGAAAAAGTAAAAATTTAATTTAATAATTTTAGACAACTTAAATTTTTTTGGCACCACTAATAAATAAATTCAATTTTATATATATATATATATATATATATATATATATATATATATATATATATATATATATATATATATATATATATATATATATATATATATATATATATATATATATATATATATATATATATATATATATATATATATATATATATATATATATATATATATATATATATATATATATATATATATATATATATAAAAGGGATACAAGTTTTTGGTGTGGCTTATTTTTGTTCCAAAATTACGCTTCATCTCTTTTATCAACAAGAAAATAGTTTAATTTAAAATCTTGATTGATTAATAACTTTTGTTGGTTACCAATTGAAAAAGTAACTTTCATTTCTCACAAAAAATATCTCACACCTATCACTTCCATTAACTACTAAGTGGTTACAGAAGTTAAAAATACTCTTCTATTTTTTATGTAAATTTTACCATTTACGAAACTTTCCTTTTTTTTCAAATCAGAGTTATTAACTATGGAGTAAAAAAAAAATCATGTGATACTTGCAAAAATTTCATACTCTAAAATATAATAAAATTCAAATATTTAATGCAACCACAATGGTATTGAGTGGTTTTCTACTGCACTATTATTTTCTTACCAAAATCATATCTTACTTTTGTTGCAAAACATTATTCGTTAATACTATAGTTTTAGCTTTTTGCTTTTGTTGTTATTGTGTTTTATTTCTTAATGATACTTATTTGTATTTTGTGAGTATAAACACATCATAAAATATGTAATTTAGATTTTCATAATACAAACAATTATTTCATCAGTATTATTTTTTGAAATGGCGTGGTTTTTAATGATGTTAGCTCTTTTGTTTTAAATTTTTATTTATATCTTACTTTTGATTTGCTATTTGCTATTGTAACTATCTATTTGTGTGGTAATTTAATTATGATTTGAAGATGGTTTGTGTTTTTTTCATATTAAAAAATAATTAATTTGGTTAACATTATTTGACATATAGAATAAAAGGAGAGATGAGAAGAGAATATAAGAGTGTTACATATCAATTTCTCTTATTAACATTTTTTTCGTTGAATTTTTTAATGAGTACACACATTAAAATATAAATGAATAAAAAATTCAACAAATTATTATCATCTCATTTTTAGATCTACATTTCATTTTTAATCCATCATCTCATTTCTCTTCTCTTTTCTTTTTGAAATATTATGGATGACTTTAACGGAAGGTTGTAATATAACGGTATAAAATGAAATCTTTTTGAAAATCTTTCACAAATTTAATTGGTATACATAATTTTAATATTTCGTACATTGTTAACTTCCATATGTACTATAGAAATAAAAACCATTTCCTCAAAAAATTATGTATCTTGATAAAACAGTTTTAAAAATATTGTCACATTTATTAATACTTAATATATTGTCCAAATATATAATGACAGTTGAAAAAATATATAACTTCCATTATTTTATCTTTTATGTCTATATGTGTGACCTTGCTATTGAACAAAACTTTAAGTATGAAAAAATAAAATAAAAATATTAACAAAAAAATTTATTGTGAATTATTGAAAATTTGAAACACTGACCATTCACTTTCTTAAATTAGTTGAATTTTGTTGTTAATTTTTATTTACAATTTTTATTTTTGATGTTATAGAGAGATGCGCAATAAATGTCATATTACTTACAAATTTAATTTGAAAAATAATTTAACTTTTAATTAATTAAATAAATAACATTTTAAAATTTCTTACAAACATAAAGATGCATATCAGAAAATTTAGTATTCAAATAATTTTAATTTAAATCATACTTAAATAAAAAAAATAATCGTTTATATTTTGACGTGTATGCTCATTAAAAAAAAAGACAAGTACGAGAAGAGTCGTGTGTGGAGCATACATGTTCGCAGGGGATGTACGTGTTGTTCAGTTTACTCTACAAACTCCTCTCTAAACATTTTCATCAAATTTATAAGAGAGGGGGAGAGGGAAGGGGGAGAGAGGAATGCATATTACAAAGTTTACTATACAAATAATTTAAATTAAAATCAAAATTACATAAAAAATATTCATTCGTATTTTGACGTGTGTATCGTGCCCGTTTGGACGCTATCAAGACTATGTGCCACAAGGTAATACTTGAGAGATGTTCCTCCTTAGGTATTACCTTTCGTATTAACGCACATAAATTAACATAGTTAACCAATAAAAAGATGCAATAAAACCTGAGAGATCGAAGACAGCAAATGCTCCACACGCGATCAAAGAAAGAAATAAATTCAAATATTAATTTTAAAGATTTATTTCTAATCCACTCAGGCCAGACCAAAAATTGAAATCTGCGGTTTAAGATGGTTCCCATTGAGTAAGCACAACACAAGAAGATTCATTCAAAACATGTGACTTATTTAAATGTATTTCTTTGTTGATATCCGCAATTGGAAGTTTTTCGTGCCCGGATCAATTCTGAAAAGCATTTCATAAGTCACATGTGAAAGCATTTCTTTGATCTGGCCTGAGCGGGCTCACTTATACAGAGACACTCTTAGAAGGCGGTTAAAGTCACAATGCTCAACATGTGACTAGATTGTGTTTTGAAAGTGTAAATTGTAGGTTTTTTTGTTTATAAGTTGATTATCATATTTTGACTGGACCGTGTAGGCTTCTATAAGCCCTTTATCTTGGCTTGATTTCACCGCCTTTTTTATTGTACCTGTGGCTTTTTTTTAACGTGAGTGTGTAACGAGCTTTGTAGTCCACGTGAGTAATATGAACGATCGAACAAGATGCATAGACAATACAATAGTCTATGGTGAGATGTCCAATCAATTCATTTTATTCTCAA